AATCAACGTGTTCGCTGTTTTGCACACGTAATAAATTTAGCTGCAAAGAAATTAATTGATAATCTTCAAGTACCACTACTATATGAAGATGAAAATTCTTTTGAAGAAGCTGAAAACACGGAAGACAATTTGAAAGATACCATATACAAGGTAATATAGTATTGTGAAGCATAGTTAAAATTTGTATGGTTGACTAATTTTATTAAATTAAAGCTTTGTAAGGTAATTGTAAAAATCCGAGCATCACCCCAACGTTGGAAAAAATTCAAACAACAATGTATTGCAGCAAATATGGTACCACTTGAGCTGATACCTGACGTGTCTACCAGGTGGAACTCTACTGAGATTATGTTAGAATGAGCATTAACACTAAAACAGGTTTTGATTTATATAATTTTATTAATATTTATTTTAATTTATAATTAAATTTAATAATTTTTAATTATACAGCCTTTGCACAATACAGCATCAGCAGATAAAGATTTAAAAAAATACATACTTTTGGAAGAGGAATGGGAACGTATTTTAGAAATACGTGAAATATTGCAGGTTGTTATTTTGATTGTATACATATTTTATTTATGTATATATTAATAATTAAATTTTTTTTATAATATAGCATTATAAAAAATGCACGGATTTAAGTGTTAGTCAACAATATCCGACATTATCTTATACTATACCTATGTATAATTTTTTATTAGATAAACTCGAGGATGAATATGATAAAAGAAAAGAATCTGATACCGAGGAGGATGAGGAGGAGGATGATGATGATAGTGATGATGATAATGAAAGCAAAAATGATGAGATTTTATGTGCATTAAAACAATCAATTGAAAAAATAAAAAAATATTATACATTTACAAGTGGATTAATATACACGGCTGCAACATGTAAATTTATCCACTTTACATAATTTATTATACATATATTTATAGTTAATATTTAATTGTTGTTTTTTTAATAATAGTACTAGATCCTCGTATAAAGCTTCAATATTATAAAGACAATATGTGGGAAGAATCATTTATTCAAGAGGCAAGAAAACAAGTTACAAATTTATAGGAAACTACGTATAAACTGAATATTTCAGAAAATGTAGAGCCATCTGATGATGCAGATGATGATCTTTTTGGTCATATCTTCAAAAAGCGAAAAATTGAAGAAAAAGATGAACTTAGCATTTATCTAAATGAAGAAGTAACTCCTGGTAAAACTGATATTTTAATGTGGTGGAAGGTACACTAATGTTTATTTTATTAATTTTATTATATAATTTATTATATTATTATTTATATTATTATTTTTTTTATAGTTACATGAAATTGAGTACCCGAATTTATCAAAAATGGCTCGTGATTACCTTTCAATACCAGGTTCATAGTATTTTTATTTTAATTTATTATTTATAATATTAATTTTATTAATTTATATAACATTGTTATTTTATTATTTTTGATCTTTTATAGCAACTAGTGCTCCTTTGTAAAGAATATTTTCGGGTGGAACAGACTTAGTTGTTCAAAAATGATGTAGCCTTAAGGAATCAACAATACGAGAAACAATGTGCCTTAAAGGCTGGTGGAAATCTGGTGTTAGTGGATCAATAATTATAAATGATTAATGAAATTGTAAATAAAAATAATTGTAAACATTAAATAAATAAAATAATGTAAAAATTATAAAAATAACTTTTAAACTAAATTATTTAACGTTTTGATTTGGATTAAATGGCTTGCGAGCCAGCTTGAGCTATTTGAGCTGAGCCGTTTTATGGCTTGAGCTTTTTAAGCCAAGCCTATTAATTAGCTCAAGCTTTTTTAAGTTAGCTCATGAGCTGTCAAGCCAATTTTAACATGACTTGGCTTGGCTTAGTTTGAAAAGCTTGAGCCAGCTTGCAAGCTGACTTGGCTCATGTAGAGCACTAACTATAAATACAAAAAAAAATAAATAATTAAATTTATAAATATAATATATACATAATATGGTTAAACTCATATCTTATTAAATTTAATTAAGCAATAAATACCTGATTCTCAGATTGTAAAATTTTCACATGCAGTATTATTTCCTATTCAGCTACCAATTATACTATAAATTTTTTCTTCTAACATAATTTTTTACTATACATATCAGGTAAATATGAGAAATATTCCTAATTGCCAATTATTATTGATTATTGTGATTATTAAATTATGCATAATAAATAACAATAAATATGATATTTATTTAAATTAAGCATTGGTTTTATGTCTGGTGATTTCAAAATTGCCTTTCATAACATATGCTTTTGTCAGTGCTATTTACTTATGATTGCAACTGGATCTTCCTTCACATTTTTCTCATATTTGTTTAAAAAAAAAATAAAGAATAAAGATTAATATGTTTTTTTTTTGAATATTTATACAAAATTATTATGTCGTACAGAGCTATTATGGATCAATCTATTTTTGTTATACAGGAGTATATACATTGACACATTGTGACTTAGTAAATTCTTCTAAGCTGTTGATCCTAAAGGATCAGATCACTACTTCAGGTTGATGATCAATATTTCAGATACAAAATTGAATATATGCTAACCAGAGATAAATATAATTATGACAAAGCAATACTAATAATAATTTGTTCAAAGCAAAATACTTGATAATTAACTATATGAAGTACTTTTGTACAAGAAAAAGGATGTATTAGCTATTCAGAAAAAACTTGGCATTAATGGTAATATAAACCAAACAGCATTAAATCAAAGCAAGAAAGCGAAAACACTTGATGATTCATATAGACTGTTGTTTGATTTGTAGAGGAAATTATGTTTATATAGGAGGATCTTGAGATTAGTGGCAACAGGACCCCAGAAACTCTATATATAGGTTGCCATTAAAATGAATAAATTGTTATGTAAAATCCAAAATTGTTGCTCATTAAGTTGGATAATTTTGTTATAAAAAATTTTAAGATAGTTATTAATAAATTGGATAAAAATAACATTATTGTTATATAAAATGGGTAACCCGTCCTATAATCACTTTCAAGGTTGTTACTATAATGGATAATGAACATATGTATTTTTTATAGAGGTAATATATATGTATATATATACATATTGTAAAATCATGATAAAAAATTTTCTTCATCTATTAAAAGATGCAAGCTGAAAGTCCTAAAAATTTTCCTTCTATAGAGTTTTTCTACCCGATGATAATGAATATGATCCTGAAGAAACTCTTGATTTACTTGGGTGTGATTTAGTTGAAATGTTGGATGAGATAAATGTGAAGCAAAATGAAGTAATAATAGATGATAAGGAAATGGAAAAAGTAGATGATGTTATATCAGAAGAAGAATATGATAATGATGCTATAATCTATGATGATGTAGATAATTTACAAAAGAGAAAGAGAAAATGTAGAAAAAAATTTTTTTTACAAACAGAAATAAATGAGTTACAGAATAAATTGCATGCTAATAAATATTTTATGGAAGAAGAAATAACTCCAAAATTAGTTCAGTAAGTGTGGTAAAAAAATTTGTTTAGATCGAGATTTTAGAGATAAAAATCTTACAATACATGGCGAATTAAGTAATTGTAAATATAGTGGAGAAGGTCAACAAAGTATTAAAGTTTTTTTTAAACAGAGAAAGTTAGATATGAAGAGGAAAACACAATTGTCCAAAAAGGATTACATTATATGAAGAAAAGTATTGAGAATATGTACTTAATAGTACTGCTGAATTTGGGGATCAGTTAGCCTGACATAGACGCAAAAGAATTATTTCCCGAAACTATTAAAAACGAAACTTAGATTAAAGGCTCTTAGTACAGCAATCTCAAAAATTATCTACGTGCATATACTTGCCGCCTATTTACCAAAAAAGGAAATTGTAACAATACACTTGCCGATCATTTATTGTTATAATTTCCTTTTTTGAATATAGGCGGGCAAGTATATACGTGCATGTGCTACGTAGATATTAGATAAAACTACTATATCCGTCAGAAGCAAAGTGCTGTAATGTTGAATGTGTTTTTGTCATTGAGCAGATGTGTATAAGAGACAGGTATATACGTGCATGTGCTACGTAGATATTAGATAAAACTACTATATCCGTCAGAAGCAAAGTGCTGTAATGTTGAATGTGTTTTTGTCATTGAGCAACATATATTTTGCATATAATATCCATATAAATGAAATGGAAATGGAAATAATTGAAAAAAAGGTAATTAATATAAATCATAAGGTTATTTTCATTACGACCATTCATCTTGGAAATGGAAAATCATTTTACCAAGAAAATCAACTAGCATTTTAGTAATCAGCATACATGTGGTTCGGTGTAGGGTGTGTTTTAAGGTATCGGGTCATTTCACTGATCTCTGGCCTGAGTTATTTATAATTCTGCATAATGTTGGCCCTATTTTTCGGCGAAACGTCCTTTCGGCGAAATGTACCGTAACCGTGTTTTAATTTAAGAACCTCTTTCTTGGTTAGTAAATAAAATAGAAATAAAAAGTAATAAATTATAAATTGAACGTATTCAATGAAACATCAGGTCCGTCATCCAATATCAGATTGTCATTCTTTAAATGAATGCTGTCATATGATTAAAAAAGGCCGTACTTTTATGTCTTTAAATTTTGGCTATCAAAAACGTGCTGTCCTTGTTATAAAATAATAGAATAACCAAAATTTTTAATTTCATGGTCAGACTTATGATTCTGAATTACGTCTATCAATGGATAAAAAAAATACTTTCAGAAACTTAATTCTCCCGAAATGATCCAATAGCAAATGCTCATCTTTCTTCTTTAGCTATCCATTTTTTTCTCATTCAATCTAACAACGTGGTTATTCCAAATTTCTTATATAAATAAGAAAGAAAAGTGCTTATTAAAAATTATTAAATTATTTTAAAAACACATTAAACTTACTATGCGACGTCCTATTTCTTTCACTTTTACTATCATTGTAACCATCTGTAGCTTAATGAATATCATGGCTTTTATACCAGCCACTAAAGGTAAAATTCGGAAATATTTGTTAGTTTTCAAATACAGCGATTAAATTTATTTAATAATATATATATATAGCATATGAGATTCTACTTCGGAATGGAGGTGGTGATAGTCATGGTAATAAGGTAATTATATCGGATTTTATTGAGCTAAATTCCATGAGTGATTTGATATTATGTATATTCCTTTTGATTTTAATTTAATTTTATTTATGTACAGTGACATGTTGTACTTGGGAGGAGGATGATCAACGCAACTTCATAACTTTTATACCTCCAAATGTGCCGCATAAAAATAATGATTATTATTGTTTCCCTTGTTCGAGCTTCGATATTGTAGGTCGATATTTTGGTGCGGATTTAAGAAATGGTATTCTCACTTATCAAACGATAGATAATACTACAACATACTGGATTCATTTGGGATCTAATTATATTGGTGCTTATTATGAAGCATATCAAGGTGGTTATAACAAAGACGCCTGTTTCATGTTAACTGGTTACTTTAACGCAGCAGAAATTGAAGAATTATCTTACGATGATTGTAAAAAAATCAGAGGTCCATAATAAGACCGCACTATCTTTGCAAAAACAATGCATCAATCATTGTCTTGTATAATGTACTTTGCAGAAACTATTATATCATGAAAAAAATACTCTTCAATATCAATATTTTTTTGCGATCTTCTTCCAAGTTCTTTTCATTGCCTTTTTTTATGAAATCCCTCTCCATATCACTATATACTCCCAGTGGGAATAATTATCTATATCATGTAATGGCGATATATTCGCAATTTTTTATGTATTAGTTGCTCGCAATGTTTTTTTTTATTTCTTAAATAAAGCATATATTACGTACATCTTGAAAAATATCACGTGTAATGATGTAATATAATAGCCTGACAATCCTGTACTACATCTTAATTGCATACATACTGTATATTGGGCAAATGCATACAAAAAAAATCTATCATTTCTCCCGAGCGTCGGAAACTAAAAATACTTTTATATCCATAAACCAGCTTTACCTCATATCGGCGGATTTGTCTATCCCGGGATTAATAAGTTTAAAGTAGGCAATTTCCATACTAAAAATTATGCTGTAGCACAGAAAACCAGCTGATGATTTATCATCTGACTAATGATCAGCTAAGATAAAAAAATTTTTATATCTCGAAACCAAAAATCAGACAAAACAGTCGCTTAAAACCCATTTCTCCTATGAAAAACCCATTTCTCGCTCTTCGCTTAGATAGTTAGCTGTCAGTTTAACAATTAAGCTTTTTTTTAAATACATATTAATAAAAAAAGAAAGAAATTAACATAACTTAAATATATAACTCTTTAAATTTATGTTTATTATACCCAGCATGCGCATTTGTTCTCTCCACTATGATATTATGAAGATATGCTTCGAATTTCAGAACAAATGCAATTGGAAATATACTATCAAAAAACTTGATCTCCAGATAAATGAAGAGAAAACAATAACTTAGAAATACAAGGAATAAAATAGTTCAGAGTAACATTTATCTATACTGGCATTCCATTGCCATTCTCACTTGATTTAATTAGACAACGTGAATTTACAGAAAAGATGGTTAGCAATAAATGGATTAAATGTATGAAGGTTCAATCTAATACCATCATCGCTAATGAAAGAATCAAAAATGCTTTACTTATTCCAACCTTTGATATCAACCTGGCTTGGTATAGGTATAATTGGTGAGATTGTATGGAAATGTTTATTCTTTCGTTTTGTTTTTTTTTATTAATCATAATTTTTTTTCTCTCTTAAAAATGCCAGGCATTTCGATAAGTTTTATGTGATGTTTTATTAACTGAGTTAGTTTCTTTCATTTTTTTTTATTAACTAACGATATATTGAAATTTAAGTAAGGTGTGTAGTTTTTTAATAATTTTATTCACAATATAATAATATATGTATACGTAAATGCTACTACTTATACTTTGAAGAGTGAAGTAGATGAGAAGCTAGTCACTCCAGCAGGGTAACTTAGGAACAAAAGGATGCTCTATTATAATATGTTAGGGATCACACTATATATAGTAAATCTGTTAAAATTTAATGAAATTTTAAATAGTGACGTTGGATCTTTGGTTACACCAAAACATTCTGATAGTTCATTATATAACGACCGCGTTAATTAATGAAATTGTGTTTGTTTATTTTACATTTTCTCTCTGTGAAATAACTTATTTAATTTATCACTGCGGTATAGTTGATTAAATTTATTTTTCATGATACCATTGACATATTTTCAATTGTAATACAATTGTAAACAACTCATTAAAAAAGTAAAATAATCTAATAGAAAAATAACCGGAAAAAAAAATCATAAATCTAATATATATGTTTAAAAGAATCTCCATAATGAATCAGGTTCTTTCCTACTTTTAAATTTAGCATATTTAATACACATTGGCCATAACAATGCTAATCCAAAAATCCACATAGACCAAAATTGCCAAGAATCAATACTGTATGGAGGTTCTTGATTAGATCCAAATAAAAATGTCAAAATCAGACCCATAATTAAATACAAATGGAAATGCACCATATAAAAAAATAAAGCACTTTGTCCAAAAGCCAATAATGGACCACTAAATAAAAAATCTATAAAATAATTTAAAATAGAATAAGGAGTTGATGAAGGAATCGAATAAAAAAAAGCTAAAATCAAATGATTTAAACCCATATATAGTGTGATGAATGATAAATCTGGTGGATATTTTATTGCATTAACAAATTGTAATATCGATGTTAAATAAGGATTATTGAATAAAGTTCCCGGTGGTGGTGATGGAAGAAGTTCTGGATTTATGTTTCCGAATTTTCCAGGAATTCTTATTGCTAAAAAGAGCGTTAGTAGAAAAATCCCAATTTTCTAAGAATGACAAAAAAAAATTTATTATTATGTATTTTATTTACGACGCGATTTAGGGCAGTGCGTAATATTGCCCTTAGGGAAAGACACTACATTTTTTTGACCTTACCAAATTGAGATTTCTGTTATAACGTTTATTATGTGCTTGTTTTAAAGTGATATATCCATAAAGAATTCCGAAAATTGTAAAAGATAACCAATTTAAAGGTGGATACATAGAAAAAAGCCATTTATATTCTCCTAAAAAAAAAATGAAATATTTGTTAATAAAAAGATTATTTCCCCATTTGCTGCACTAAAAAAAAAAATTACCTGGTAATAACCAAATAAATCTCCACAAACCAAAATCAACTGTTTCATATTCTATTGATTTTGGAGTCTGTGAAACATTACCAATCGCTAATAAAATAGTTATTAATAAAAGAATAACATTTCTCATATATTTTGCTTTTTTCTCCACATTTTCATAATCGACTGTATAATTTGAGTTGAAATTTTGTTGAAATCTCACAAGATATGGAAATGATTTTATTCCTGCTAAAAATACTAATCCTCCGATTATAAAATTTATTCCTAACGCAAATAATACAGTTGTAGGAAAAATTATATCTGTAAACAAATAAATGTTTTATTAGGATTAGAAAAAAAAGTGATATGATATGACAAAAATAAAAGATAGAAACTTACAATCAATAACATAAATAATACCAAAAATCATAAAATAAGCATTTAATATTAATAAAGTTAAACCTCTAATAATATAATGCTTTAGTAATTTATTTATTTCCCATCCAATTCTTAAACGTGATTCTGAAAACAAAATTATTCCAAATCCCATCATAAAAGCAAATCCAGGTGCTGCTAAATGAGTTACCAATCTTGATATTGATGGAACCAAATCTTTATACACGGGTTGAGAATACCATGTTTCGTGTTCTAATAAAGTGGCACAGTATGAATTAACCTAAAAAAATAAACATACTGTATGTATTATAAAAATAACTTATTTTACCTGTTAGGGCTGTTAAAAAAGATCTTGCATCTATAAGAGAAAAATCAGATTACATACATAACTATAACTGGTAAGAATATATGATACGTGTTATTTAATTTATATACATACGATCCAAAGATTGTAAAACCATTAAAAGTCCACGAAACACGTCCAAAACTACAACACGGCGTGGTTTGGTATTGTCACCCGTATAAGAGGTTGCCTTTAATTAACATAAATATGTCAATAATTTCTCATATAAAAGATGGTTTATTATACACATACATTTCGTTGAATCAAAATCGTTCTTTCGTTCGGCTGAACCATTCTCTTTATGTACAGTACATATAAAAGAGATATGGTATACTTATATAAATATTTAACAGCTATTGAAACATAGTACCAATTACTAATTAATTATTCCAGAAATATCTAAATAATTAGTTTTGCCGATATATTAATAATCATGTACTTGAACAATTGCATGTCCTATAAAAAAAGTCATCTTTTTTCCGTAAAAGGCTGGAATTAATCACAGAAATAGCGGGCCGAGAATAAAACACCTTGCGTCGGACCGGAACACAGGAACATATAAAACCCGGGTCCGGTGCAAAAAACATCTAAAGTATTGCATATATATGAACACAAACTCGCGCAATAGAGGGGGGGGAGCCGCAATACGGACAAAATTCAACCCGGACCCGTCACTAAATTAACCGCTTATCTTAATACTTAATTCGAAAATTACTAATACATTTCGGGGAATCATTTTTGCAAATTAATGCTCAGAAATTTAGTGTTCAGAGTATAAATTTGCGTCATCATATATTAGTTTCACAAGTTTGATCAACTTATACTTACCATTTAAGGTTACGATGTTATACAATTTAGTGATATTGCCTAGTATGAAAAATAGTGTAACCAAATGCTTGAAACTATTGTATGATTAGTTAAAAAATTTTTTCTTTAGCGACGTTGGACTCCAGCCTTTAAAAACGCTATATTATACAATTACAAGAATTATAACGATCACAAAGTTAATATTTTTTATTAAAATATTATTTATATACTGGTAAATAATTTGTTTTAAAAGGTATAAACAAAAAAAAATAAAAAAAATATTAAAATTATTCATTTCTATCAATCACAGGTGTCTAGCTTATTGTGCTTATACTGAGTGGTATATATGGTGGATACTTTTGGAATGTCAGTTTCTTCTAAACTACCTTTCTCTACCAAAAATAATTCCCCGAAAAATATTAGTAGAATTCACTATAAATCTTTATTTGTATTTATTATTGTTGTTCTTTTAATAGTGTAATAAAAATAGTAGTTATTTTGTAAAATAGTAAAAAAATATTTGTTCACCATTTCAAATTTAAATATTTTAAAATGTGAGGAAAAAAACAAACCCGTATAACCGATGGCTAACTAATATATCATTGGAGTATGTATAGTTCTCAAAAAAGTAATTAGAAAAGACATTGAGACGTACTGATAAATAAAAATTTAAACTTTAATTTATAGTATAATATGTTAATTAACTGTCAAACTTAACATGTTGACAATTATAAATTATTGTAACTAATTTGTTTTACAGTACTTGGGACTTTATTTAAAAATAAAATATGAATTCAGGAAATTGGAAATCACATATAATATATAAAAATTCAATTATTTATTTTCTTTAATTGCGGTTTCCAACGCATTTCTATCAGCTCCAATAACATCAGCTCCTTCAATCTTCTTTCCATTCTTAAATAAAAGGAATGTCGGATAAGCTGTGATATTATATTCAGCAGTAAGTTCCTAAACAAAAAAATAATATATAGTTATTCAATATGAAATATCTTATTTTCAATTAAATAATAAATAAAATAAAATAAAATAAAAGGAAAATTTACTGGATTTTCATCACCATCTACTTTAAGAAAGATAACATCAGTGAATTTTTCTTCTGCAAACTTTTTGAAGACGGGAGCAATGGTTTTACAGGGTGTACACCACGATGCAGAAAAATCAACAACCACCTATTATTTAGTTATTTGTTATTATATCTAATTAATATCTAATTAAAACACCTAAAAATAAATATATCTTAACACTGAATAACGTACCAACTTTCCTTTATTAAGGTGTTGTTCAAACTCTTCTTTTTTATGAATTTCGAAATAATTATCAGACATTTTTTTAATTTTAACTGAAATGAAATTTTTTTTTTTTTGAGCCTTATTTATATCAAAGATTATATGCATCTCAAGTAAAAATAATTCGCCATTTTAGTCAAATTAGTCTTACTTTTAAAGTATATATTATTAATCTTTGATTAATATGAATAATTTAGGTTAATATTTGCCAATTATGGATTTAGTCAAAAATTTTCAGATGAATATTTTTCATTGTGGAAATTTATTTGTGGAATGAGTCATCTTACTTGTTTGCTATATTTATAATTTATAATGAAGTAAAATGAAAAAAAACATGCGCGTCAATAACGTCAATAACGGATACAATGATACAATAGTTGGATACGCCTAGTGATGGGATTCCCATGGAATTTGCAGGAATTTAACGGGATCTGGTACAAATCTCATAAAATTCCGCGTACCGGTTAATTAACCCTCCCTAGATATACGCCTCATGTGATCATGATTCACCAACTATTACACAGAAATTAAAAATAAAGTACACTCACTCTTTCATCTTTCAACAATTCTTTTTTTTTTTGTTTTTTTAAAAAAAAAGGTTTCATCAATAATAATCTATATAGTATAATATTAAAGTTCTGATATAAACAAAGCATTTTAGAAGAAATATTAAGAAATATTACTGGGTATGGAATATTCCCTTTGTTAATTTAAATTCTTTTTAAATTCTTTTTAAAACGTAATGTTTATTTTCCCGAAACAGTCTTGTCTACTTTTAAAAATCAAGTTGGTACCACAAGTATTAGTTTGGTAAGAGTTTCATTCTAATATTTATTAATAATGTCGTTAATCTATAATCTAATTTTACTAAATTATTTCATAATCGTAATCCAGTAATGATTCTCCCAGATATAATTAAGGTTCCTGCTGTTCAATTAATAGGAGAAAAATGTTATTCGACTTTAGTAGAAGATTTTGATATTACTGATGTGGCTTGTCTGAAGATTTTATTATCCAAAGGTCTTGGTTTTGGAATTGTCTTAGGCGGTGCGTTGGTCAAGTTACCTCAAATCATAAAGATTTTAAGTGCAGGATCAGCTCGTGGTCTTAGTTTGTCAAGTTGCATCTTGGAGACTTTTGCTATAGGAATTGGTTTGGCTTATAATTTCCGTCAAGGAAATCCTTTTAGTACTTATGGGGAATTATTATTTTTGACGATAGAAAATATTATTATAATACTTTTAATTCTTAATTATTCAGGTCGTTCTAAAGATCTTTATCTTACTGGTATTACAATAGTTGCAATCTCTTATGTTCTTGGTTCGTCATCGATAATAAATGATGCTTTCTTGTCATATCTCCAAGCCCTCACTATACCATTCTCCATTTCTTCCAAGATTCCACAAATAATTATAAATCATAAGAATAGTAGTACAGGTCAACTTTCTTCTTTTGCTGTGTTTGGCTTTACTGCTGGTTCTTTAGCTAGAATATTCACTACATTATCTGAAGTTGATGATTCTTTACTTTTAAGTGGTTATATTTTAGGTTCTATATTTAATATAATTTTAACTATACAAATGATCAATTATTGGAATACTGAAAAGATAGAAAAGATTAGTACAGAGAAGGAAGATTAAATTTTACATTAAATAAGATATTTATTTAGCATTTTTTTTTTTTTAGACATAATACTAGTAAATGTGATTTGTAATTCTTTAATTTTGCAAGTTTTAATAAATAATATTTCATTTAATTACAATTTTAAAATTTTTCTCTTTACCCAATTACATTACAGAAGTGAACTTTTTGCTAGAACTTTTTGAAGAAAAGAACTTCCATTAGAATACAAAATTAAAGTCTATAAGTATTTTTTATAAAAAAGTTATATATTTATATAATTCTAATACTTAATATTATTTAAAGTGTAATTATTCTTATAAAAATCCAAAAAAGCAAGGAATTTGATAAGCAAAGTTTAAATAAATTATATAATAATATAATAATAGTAAACAGCATCATTAATTAATATTTTTGCAAATAAACTATTTAAGTGATTATTATAGTATTTTAAAAAAATTAATAATAATAATCAAAAAAAAATAATAATAGATACAGTAGTTAATAGAATTATAATAGTATATAACTTGTTTTTTAATATATAAAGTTTTTTGATAAGAATTAAAGAAAACTACCAAAGTAATTTATATATTAGAGAATGGAAATTATTAAATGTCTAAAGTATTATAGTAATTATATAATCATTAATAATAAATAAAGCTAATAATTGAAAAAAAGTATTACTAATAAAAAATAATTAGTTAAATTCATTATATTATGTTGCAAAATTTCAATTTATTTTTATAATATTTAATTAAAAAAAAAAATTTTATATTTGTTTTAATTAAAAATTTTTTATTACTATAAAAAAATATTATAGTATATATATATAAAATAATTTGCAATACAATTATTAAATATTACATTAAAAATATTATATTAAACAAATAATAAAATATAACACTAATTTAATAAATTATATAATTTTTAATTATATTTATTTTGATTATTGTTTAAAAAAATCTTACATTCTTTTAATATATAAAATTTTTTCTAAAATATAAAAAGTTTGTTTATTTTTATTAAATAAAGATTTACTAAATTTACAATTATTTGAAAAAAAAGTAAATTTTAAATCTATATTTTAATTCATACTTTAATTCTATATTTTAATCTTATTAAAAATATTAGCTATAATTCAAAAAAGTATTATAATATAAAATTTTTATATACTGTAATTAGCGTTCTGCAAATACCAATGCTAGCACAATTGGCATCATACCAAGCATTGCCTGGTATAATAGTGATGCCCGAAACTAGGAAGTTTCGGTCACATGATGAAACTGAAATGGTAAAACCTAGGGATAGGTAAATATACGGAGGCCAACTCAAGGTTACACAGGCTGATCAATTACCGATTGAACTGAAGCCTTCATAAATTGGTTACACAAACGAAATTTCATATTAAAATTTCGCTTTTTTTTATTTTTTTCGTCACGCACACATAAGAAAGTAGCTCTGTCTCTTATACACATCTAGATGTGTATAAGAGACAGCGCACACATAAGAAAGTAGCCGATCTCAGAAGTTAAGTTTGTTCATATTAGCTTTATATAAACGAAGTTTTTTCATCCAAATTGAATCACTGGTTAATTTCTTTTGTATTTTTATATGTTTTATTATATGACAATAGGAAGTTAGAAATTACAAACTTTTTTTTTTGAGATTTCAATAAAAAAATAATTTTTTTTTTTGCTTAAAACATTTAAAAATAGTGTTTTCTTCTTTCGTTGTGCATTATTTTCAAGTATTTAATAAACTTTTATATATTTTTGAGGTATTTAAAATAGCCGATCAAGTTTTTTGAAATATATAGAAGCTAAACCTTGACAAAAATTATATATTTGTGTAGTTTCTGATTTTGTCATTTTCGGGGGCTAATTTTTTTTTCATAGATCATATTGATTATCGGCCCATTTCTCGCTTTAAACATGGGGTATTTTTGAATTTTAATATAGTTACTTATAAAATTACTATAGGCTTCAGTTCTGGTCTTATGACCATAGCCTGTGTAACCTTGAGTTGGCCCCCCGTATATTTACCTATCTCCTAGGTAAAACTAGTTTTAGAAAATTGATCAATTCCGAAACTGCTGAAATTATCCAAAATTACCGATACTACCCGAAATTATTAAAACTATATTTTATAATTAAATAATTTATAATTTATTGATTTTATGATTTTTATTGATAAAAAACTTTATTTTATTTGAAATTTATTATGATAAATCAAAAATTACATTTATCAATTCATTTCTTCATTTTTCAAAATTGCTAAATTAACATATTCTTCGATTAATACATATACATTATTCTTTGAAATTTCAACTTTTTCAAAATATTCTTCGTAGCCATCTTCATCTTCTTCATGATCATCATCAATTTCACTTTCAAAAAATACCGATTCATCAATTAATTTTTGAATATCATCATTATCTTGTCTTGAATTAAATTCAGCAGAATGCGTATTATTTTGATAAAAGTGTCAAACTTTGGCTATTGACTCAATCGTATTAGTATCCAAAATTGTTCTTTTTTTTCCATATAATCATCCTAATATGGAAAACATTCTTTCATATAAAGCGTTATGCGGTGTTACTGCAAATATTTTTAATGCTAGATTTTTCAAAAAAGGAGGTTGATTTTTACATGACATCCACCATGTGCAAGACGTAATACGATTTTTAACAAATGCCGTTGAATAAGTATCTTGTTTGGCTTTAAAATTCAGCATTTGAGAAATTAAAATTTCTTGGTCACTAATATTATACCCCATATTTTCCCATAACTTTTGCGTGTACTCTGAAATTTTTGTCCACATATTCTTTAATCCATTACCTAATAATAAAATAATTTTTTTATTTTAAAAAAGTTGTTTAACTTCAATAACCAATATTTAATAATATTAAATATTTACCTCGATAACCAGGATGAAGGAAATATGCTAATATATATGGCATAATATCAAAAGATTCCCAACGTTTATTGATAGAGTTTATTGCATGATTTCAGAAATCAGCTAAGCCTCGTTCAACTGGAATCTTATTAATAGTGCTTGCTAAACGAATTAAAGCAATAAAACAATCGGCAAAAGTAGTATTAGATGCTTCAACAGACAAAATAGTCTTTTTTAGCGGCTTTAATACTTTTAATACTGAGTTGATGTCATGAAAAAATCCACGAGAGATAATTGTTTTTACTATATTTTCTTTAATGATATCCTTATGTTCATCTGCAATTTATTAATTTATTTTTAAAATATTTTTAATTCTTTTTGCAAATTAATGAAAAGAATGAAAAGAAAAAATAATTAATATTTTTAATAATTACCTTTTCTAATATTAGTTTTAGGCGCAAAACAGAATCTGCAGCATCGAATATTGTTGTCCATCTCATCTCAACCCAAGTTTTAATTTTTAGCGCACTTTACCAATAGAGCTTTTCCTTGATGAGACTTGTTAAAAAATTTCACTATTTCGTTACATGATTTCAAAACTTTTTTCAGAAAATCATGTTCTAATTTTTTAAATGATAATCTTTTATTATTAATAACAAGAATATTTAGCAAATTAATGAAATAGTTTAAATAAATTAACAAAAACCTTACCAAGTATATCTTTAGTGATCAAATTAACACAATGTGCAATGCAACGAGTGTTAATAATAAATGGGTATTTTTCACTTATAATATTTCGAGCAAGAGCACAATTTGCAGCATTGTCTGTTACAACTGCAGCAAATTTATCAGGTCCAATTTTTTGAAGTACATTATTGATTTAATTTTGGGCCATATGTTTTATGATTGAAAGATCTCGAAGTCGATATAAGAATTCATGCCGATTATGAGTCATTATTATGAAATTGTAAATTGAATAACCTGCTGGATTCGTCCACCCGTCTAAACCTATAATTAAAACGTAAAGAATGGTAAGTTTTTATAAATATGATAATGTAGTATATAAATTTTTTTTAAAAAAATCAATTACCTAATGTTAAATTTGTTGCCCTTTTAAGAATAGACTTTACTTGATTTTCAATTCTTATTACTGCGTGAGAAAGCATAATTCCTGCCAATTTTTCATGAGAAGGTAACTTGTAATTGGGTTGAAGTTTTTTAATCAAATCCACAAAAAACGGATTTTCAACAACTGCGAAAGGAGTACCATAGCATACAAATACTTTAAGTAAACATTGATCAATTGTTTCCTGTTTTTGCTTTGATAATGGTTCAACACTATTTTGATCAACATCCCAAAAATCAGTAATATTTAATTGTTGAATTCAAGAGCGTTTATTATTTTCAGTATCATCATTATCATTATATAATTGCAGGATTTTTTGAATATATTCCCTTTTTATTTCATCATTAACATTAAGACAATCTTTAGCGAGATGAACTTGAAGTTCTTGTGGTCGTCCGCGTACCCACTTTTTTTCACAATAAAGACATTCAGCTGCGAAGTGACCAGCTGTTGATAAAGGGGCTTTAATAAAATGTTCCCAAACAGAACTTTGTGGATGTCCACCTTTACTTTTAACATTTTGTTCAGGTTCTATTTATCTAGTTCTTTTATTAGTTTTATTAAGTGGCTGGCATACTTATCGGTGTAAAGGAAAAAAATTTTAAAAATTTTTAAAAGACTGAAATAAAAAAATTCCCTAAAAATCTAATCTGATGACTGATCATCTACCTAATATGGGTATAATTAATTTTTTACGTAATTTATTTAATATTTTATATAAAAAAAGTATTTCTAAACAATAAATAAAATGATTTAGGATTTCGGCATAGTTTCAGAGGTTTCATCATATTTCGGGAATTTCGAGTAGGTTTTGGAAGTTTCAGAAAAGGTTTCGAAAATGAACCAAATTCTGAAACAGTTTCAGAATTCGAAAATAATTTTGGGTGGCACCATTAGCCTGGTACTATATAGGGTACTGATGCTGATGTCCATTTACCTATCATTTTTTTAATTGGCACCTGGTATGCCTTCATTGCCTGTATGTACCATATTAACATTTAGACACATACCAAGCTACTATGAATATCACTTAATTCTACAATACTAATGCATTCACAACTTAAAGAAAGTCAGAAAAATTCTAGTCCTCTTAATAATTTGCCAGAAATAGAGTGATATTACTTTGAGAAAAATTATTTATATTCTTTAATTTATGTATTTATAATTGTTATTGATGTATTCAATATAATGTATGTGCCTTTTTCTCATAAAATTGTATTTTTTTCGTTGTTGAGCAAAAAAATATATGTATTATTTACTTAGCACTGTGTCCAAGTATTAGTGCTAATGCCAATGCTAATGCCAGTGTTCAAGCCTTTTTTTACCAGGCATTGGTACTTATATTGCAATGCTTATATTTGTGCCCAAAAAATTTTTTTTTAGGCATAGGCATGTGCTGGATTGCAGAACCCTAGCTGTAATTATTAATTTATAAGGCTATAAAAATCTTATTGTTGTAATTCAATTTTTTTTTAAAAATAATTAAAACTAATATCTTTAAATTCTATATTTTAATTTTATATTTTAATTCTTATATTCTAATTATTCTAACCTATCTTGTAATTTATACTTTAATCCTAATTTATATTTTAATTTTAATTTTAATTCCTTATCCTAATTTTAACTTTAATTAGTATAATTATATTAATTAAAAGGTAAAATTCAACCAAAAAAAATTCATTATAAGCCTAATTTAAGTATTCCTTTTTTTTTTTTTTTTTTTAATAATTTATATATGCTTTATTGATATTAGGTTTATTCGCAATGCATTTGATAGTTTATTAGATTAATTAATAAAGCCAAATACAAAAATAAGTAAAACCCTAATTCCTAAACTAATATTATTAACTACTAAACTACTCGTTATGCTGAAAAATACCCCACGTGTGTACTGTCAAGTGATACGTTTTGCTCAGAGGGTAAGGAACGTTTATAACGTCCTATCTTAGCATTAATGCCTCTATTCTTCACAAGGCGATCATGGGACTTATTATATTACAAGTAACAAAAAAAAAAGAAAAAAAACAATATTTTAAAAATCCTGTAAGGCAATAGAAATAAACACATCCAGATTGTCCCTTTTCCCATAAATCAACTAGCCCCAGTATTGGACAATTCCATCTAACCAAGTCGTAAGATTCTGCTAATGCACCCTTGTAACTAAGGACCAATTTGCTATAGGTAAAAGAGTTCATACATTTAGTGAATTTTGCCAATTGAGAATGGATTAGATTGTGACACATCGCCTATAAGATAATAAATAATTATCGTATGTTGCCACCGACATGTTGAGTTTGAATAATATCTTTGCTTGGTTTAAAATAAAAATTAGTTACGAAACATAATTTCTTACTCAAATTTTAAATTGCGATAATTTTCTTTATTAATATTACTAATAAATATTAATAAAAATTATTAATGTCTCTTTTTCATTATAAAAAAAAGCTAAAAGAATGTGTTAGTTTTTATTAAGGGCGAACTAAAATTTTTATTTATCAAAGTCGAACTGCGGAATTCCTAATGAAATCCACTTATATTTATACATTTTAAGAAAAATATTTCTAATATCTACTATCTTTTTCTAATTAAAAATTTAAGAAAATAAAAGATATATTATCATATGACTATCTTGTGACTAAACTAAACTATAAATATTATTTTATTGGCTAATTATTTATCCATCAGCTAATTATTTATCCATTGGATAATTATTTATCTATATTCTATTTTATTATATTTTCAGTTATTACATTTATCCTCCCCTTAAAAAATTTATGTCTTATAAATTAAGAATCGAATTCACTGAATGAAATTCGATATTGTAATAATTTATTTATATTAATTAAATTTAATTTTTGATCTTTTAGAAATCATAATTTTTAATTTTCCCATCTCCTGATATTTTTAACTGATCCTGCATTTTACACGATACACAATGATATTGAGATCATGTATATTTTCCACTTAAATACTACAATCATAATTACAATAATTAAAATCTCAAATTTATATTATGATAATCTTGCCCTTTTTTTTTTGTTCATTTAATATTTATCACCTACTTTTTTGAGCAAGAAAGTTGCTCCACATTTTTATTCATTCATATTTTCTCAATATATATCACCTACTTTTAAACAAAAAGATTGTTCCACTTTTTTTTTCGCTCATATTTTTTTTATATTATAACAACTAAACATAAATCACCTAATAAATCGTCTGATGATAATCAAGAAATGGAAGTTGAAGGAGGTTGTGACACGCCGCCCATAGGATATTAAAATAAAATATCGTATGTTGCCACCGACGTGTTGAGTTTGAATAATATCTATGCTTGGTTTAAATTAAGAATTAATTACAAAAATTACAAAACATTATTTTCTTACCAAATATTATTTTAAAATCTCGAACTTAATAATATAATATTAATTAATTCTCAAGCGTACAATGAGCATATTCATATTTGAATAACTTTTTAATAATTAATATTTTAATATTATTTTTATTTGAGCCAAAAATTGACTGCGGGATTTCCTATCGAAATCCACTTGTATTTATACATTTTTAAGAAAAATATTTCTCATATTTACTACCTTTTCTAATAAAATTTGAAGATCTATTATCATATAACTATCTTGTTACACTAAACTAAACTATAAATATAATTTTATTGGCTAATTATTTACCCATCGGTTAATTATTTATCCTTCGGCTAATTATTTATCCTTATTTTATTTTATTGTATTTTCGGTTATTACAAGGTATGTAAATATAACTCTTTTAACTCTTTTGTAAATTTATAGTAAGTTTTGCTTATATAGTTATATATAAGAAAAATAATTAATAAATACCAAAAATATGTATAATAGGATTGAAAAAAAAACAAATTACGAAAAAAAGAAGAGATATTAACATTGAGAAAGCCAATCAGTTGATGAAAAAAAGTAAAAACCATAGTAATAAAGAAGCTGCTGAATCTGCCGATAAAGAAGTTGTAGTAATAAATAAAAAAAAAAGTGATGATAATGATGATGATGATGATGATGATGTGGGTAAGACAGAAGATCATAAAAAACCTAAAGTATTTCAATCAAAGTCAAATTTAGAAATAATTGCTTGGCTCGTTGACCATCCAGAAATTTTAAGATTGGTACTAGAAATGAACAAAACGGATGTTGCTATCTCATCATCCAATAAAATTATGGATGTAAGTATTAAATTAACATGATAATATTTATTATGTCTAAATCTTTTAAATAATGTATTTTTAATATTTTAGGATAAAATTTGTCTATAAGACGAAAGTGTCAAATGTCTTTTTTTACATGCGAGAAGTCCATGTGGTGAAGTTTTTGATGAGTTGATAACAAAAATTTTTAAAATCAAAATACATTCTAATGAAGCGAAAAGCTATCTCAAAAAAACCCAAAAATTTTTTATCAATTTCAGAAATAAGTTTAACCAAATTATTTTAACTTCTGTAGAAGAATTTAAAGAAATAAGAAAAAACAGGTATTTATTTAATTGTTTCGTAGCTAACCAAATAGTGCTGTTTGTATTAATTATTAATTTAATTATAGCACATCTACTGAAAGTTTATCTCAAAAAAAACTTATAGATTATGTTGATGAAGAATTTGTCCAAAAGATGTTAAGCCGACAGCTTGTAGCTGTTAATATTTCAGAATTAATAAGAAATGGAGGGTTTAATATCTTGGTTGATTTCGTAAGAGAAACCTTTATTTAAGGTTTCATAGAACAGAAAAAATTTGTCTGCCGTTAAAGAATTAGATAATATGACCAAAGAATTAACGATCCCTTCTAGGGGCGGAAATAAGATCGTTGATTCTTTATCGGTAAATTATTTTATTTATACTGATACTTCATATCCTTTAATTATAGTTATTAATAATAATATTAAATTATACATAATTATAAATCTTAGCAAACACTCCAATTTTTTTATAAAATTATGCATTTTATAACGATATTATATTGAATAAATTTAGTAAATTTTACAAGTAAATAATAATATGAAACATCATTATTCTAAACATTATATCATAATGTCAAGTGATAATAATATAAAATAAAATGGATGTATAAAACTATAAAATGGTTGTCTAAGATATAACATTTTCAAGTTTAAAAAGTAATTGTTGTTTTGTTAAAAATGGAATGGTTATTATGTAACGTTTCTTCTTTAATATATATGGCCTAAATATTTCTATGTATTTGACGTTCTTATACAGATCAAAAAGAATACATTTGCATAACATTTGCGTAAAGTAAGAACTTTAAAGTTTAAGCCAATTCTGACTGGTAATTTACAAAATAATAAACACATTTCTTAAAAAAAAATTCTGAATTAGAATACTTTTCCAGTTTTCATCTTCGATTCTGCAAAAAATTGAAAAGTTCAGGTGATAATTTAAGAAATATCCACCTATAAAGAGACTAAACAATTATCAGTTGATCAAGTTCATGTAATACCAAATTTAATAAATTGTCTGATTAAATGATTGCGTATATTAAATGATCGTGTATATTATAAGGCTATAAGGCCTATTAATTCCTAAAAAGCCAATTTAACCACTATTTTATTTAAGACTATTTATTTTGTGCATTTTTTTTTTTTAAAAAAAAACTTTCTTTCTGAAAAGTAGAGTTTGCCTCCTATACCGTTTGCCATCATGCATAGTGTGTTATAGGAAAAGGTGGACTTGTTTGATTGATTATATAGGTATAAGCTTATGTTATATAGTTGTAAAACTTATATAATCAGTTTGATAACGTAATGAAAATCCTTTTCTCACTATGGGTCTTGTATTTAGAATCAAAATGAGCTTTGACAGCATCACTCTCAATTGTCTTATCATTCCTATAGGAAAACTTATGAATATTCCATGTATTAAAGTAATGCAAGCAATTTCAATCCACAAACATGATGGTGCTAGCATAGCGGACATCTTTACTTTATCACAATTTTGTCGATCATTTGTTGATCATTATTCAATTTTATTACTTTGCTAAAAGTACTTTGGTTTAAAATTGTACATAATAATAATTTTACAGACAGCTTAACATCCATTTAAATTTACTGCATATTAAATTTTATCAAAAAAAATCCCTTTAAATAGTTTATAAAGTTTTGCCAAATTTAGTCTATATGTGTATTTTAATAATATTCATAAACATTTGCTCAATGATAACTTTTTGATTACCTAAAATTCTACATGATTATTTTGGCCATTGATTCTTGAATACCTAAATAATATACA